AATTTTGGGAAACCCCCATTTGTAGCACTACAATCCCTGTATAATCCCGACCTGATAACCCTAAACCCTAAAATCGGGTTTAGGCTTCGGGGTTCAGAGTTATAGGCTTGAGCAAGGGGTATGCTAGAACCTTGAACTTGCTGGCTAGGGTTCCTTGAGCACACCAAGCCTAAATCCTAAACCCTAANNATCCCAAACCCTAAACCTCTAATCCCTAAACCCCTAAACCCCTAAACTCATAAACCCTAAACCCATAAACACTAAACCTAAACCCTAAACCCCTGAACCCTAAACCCTAAACCCCTAGACCTCAAGCCCTGCTCCTCTGTCGATAATCATCGCGAGAATTGGGGTTACTACGAGGCTCGTAGGGGTTACTAAGTCCCCCTTACCCTCCAAGTACCCTAAAACCCAAAACCTAGACCGCGTTGAAGGACTCTACTCTACAGTCCTCAACTTTCCAACTCAGACCCTGTTGCTAGGCTTCGGGCTTAGGGTTCAGGGCTTAGGGTGTAGTTAATTGGAGTTTAGGGTTTATGGCTTGGGGCTCGGGGGTTAGGGTTTAGGATGCCCAAAACAGAAGCCAACATTCACCTATGGTGTGATGGCTGCTAGCAAACAAGAGAAGGTGTGTCAAGGCGGCGAGTATGTGCAAAAAGCTGCTTAGAATGCAGTTCACTGAAGTCTCTTTCCCAGAAGGACTGGGTAAGCTAAGTATCTGAAGAATGTCTTTCGGTTGGGAATCCCCCAAACGGAACATGAACACGTACCAATATTTCTGCGGAACCCTATATACCATCGCTCTAAACCCTAAACTATGGTAAAGACAAAGCCTGACCTAAGATCTGGACTCAGCGTGGGCGGCGCGCACTCCTTGACGCTGAATCGGGACCTGGTGTAGCTTTGGGATTTCGGGTTTAGGGACTTGGGGTTTTGGGTTTAGGGACTTGGGGTTTTGGGTTTAGGGACTTAGGGTTTAGGGTTTGCTGTAGAGATGTAGATAACTACCGTTTATCTCTAACAAACAAAAACCTGGGTTTACATAGGTACCATCCATCCCACCAGGCAAGTAGAAACTAGGGCGCAGGGTTTACGTCCTGGTGCTGGAAGTGGGAGTGGGACGTGGATTCCTATTGGGTACTGCCCCCCCCCAGTAACAGTCTATATTAGGGGTCCTATTAAGGGCTATACATAATTATATTATAGTTATTTTCCAACTGTTACTGAGGGGGGGCAGTACCCAAGATCCCTATAATGATTCCTATATGCCCCTCTTTGATGGTAATTGCATTCCCTCCCCCACTCCCCTCAAGCAACGGTGAGATTGGCCTGTATTGGGACCCACCCCCAAAACCCAAATCCTATATCCTGAGCCCTATATAAACCCCGAGACCCTGACCCCCCAACCCCTAAACGTTGAACCCTCATTCCCCCAAAACCTGAACCCAGTTTGGAAGCTTCCCACCATCCACCATACCGTGCTTAGAAACAAATCACAATCTCCAAAATCCCAAACCCAGTTTACCAATTCTCTTGCACCCCACTGTATGGAAGCTGGCTACGCACTGCATCGCACATAGGCGGGATGTTCTAGGGGTACTACAGAACCTCCGTGTTCGGCAGGTGCAGGCAGGGCTGCTACGGGATTTCGCGGCCGTTTAGGCTTTAAGGATTTGGGGATGTGTGGCGTTAATTCAGAGATGACAGTTGATCCCTCAACCCTTAGCCCTCAAAACAATCCCCTAAACGTTTTTAGTGTTTAGGGTGTGGGGACTGGAAAGACAACAGGCTTACAAATCAAACCAAGTCCTGAACTCCTACAACACGAAGGCTAAAATCCAACCAAACTAAAAGGACCCTGAACGACTAAATACCCTCGGTCCAAATCCCTCCGACAAACCGCCACATAACCGCTATACCTCAACGTATGTAAGCTCATGGCTGAAAAAGCCCTACAACTAGTCAAGCAGGTGACTATTTTATGTACGTTGGCTGTCCAGGACCCTAAACCCTGAATCCCACTAAACCCACACCGCCTCCATAAACCCTCTCTTGAGCCCCTGACCCAGACAACGAATCCAGGATGAAGCTGTGCCGAGCCCTGAAGAAAGCCTGCACATTTTAAGGGAGTTTTAGGATTTTAGGGTTTAGGATTGAAGGTTGGTTTCGGGTTCGGGGGTTTGGGGTTAAGGGTCTTGACGGATGTAGGGTTTATGCTCTTAACGGGGCTTAGGCTTTAGGGTTCCATGCGTGCGGGATGTGTTCAATAGAAGGCTTTATAAAAACAACATCGTAACTCCGCTGCTGTGGTCGCATTAGATTCCAGAACGCTCGAGGCGTAGGGCCTCATTTTTTGATGTTGAGGCTCAAAATAGTTCTAAGGTAAGGGTTTTGAGGCTGAAGCTGAATGAGGCAGAAAGTTTATGTGCGCTATGGTATTGTGAAGGAGTTTTTCAGGTTGCGTGGCGTAAGGTTTAAGATTTCACCCTAAACCCTAAAAAAGGGCTCGTTGACCCAACCGTTGTTCCTCAACCCCAGACCCTGAACCCTAATCAATGGCCAAAAAGGCTGGAAGTCGGGGTTCAAGCCCTAGGTGGCTAAGGGTCCAGGCCCAAGCTATCACCCAGTAAATTCCCATAGTATCTTAGAATTAAGGGTTTAGGGCTTAGCGTTAAGGATTATAAACACAACTATAGATAACACTAGTGTTTGAAGGTGTAGGCTTTAGGTTCCATTCTGCATCACACAAATTGCTTCCTGAGACTCGACCCGCAGGCTCGTACAAAATGAAAGAGGACTCCTTCAACCAAGATGACTGCATAAACCCCCCTTAATCTTCACAACCCTGAAAATGATAAGTACTCGGACAAAATACCGTAGGCGGACCTCCCGCCAAGTTGTAACGACGATAAGGGATAATTACTGGCAATCGTGAGTACACAGGGTCCTCTTATACTATTATACCACCCTGCACCTTGAAACCTAACCTAGATATCACAATTACAGGGTGCAAGGCCCACAAAAGAAACCTAAACCCTAAACCCTACTTAAGAGAAAGCCCTACGTCTAGACCTGCACCTGCGCACAACACCCTGAGCCACGCGGTTTAGGGTTTAGGGTTAAAGCCTAGGATTTAGGGGTTAGGGCTTAGGAACCCCAGGCAGCCCTCCCACCCTCTAATAGTGGTATCTAGGTTTAGGGTTAGGGTGGTATAGTGGGAGAATAAGAGGACCCTAGCATTATCACCATTATCCCTTAGAGTCACAATTACTGGGCCTCTAACAACCTGCTACCAAGGGGAAGCATGTAAGCCCCGAGGAAGAACATCTTCAGGGACCCAAGTTCAAATGCCCCAAATACCCTAACGCCTGAACAACCCTAAGCCATAACCCCTAAACCCTAAACCTTAAACCTAGACCCCATCATCCTGAACTTGGCAAGCCCCACAAGCGCAAGACCCGTAACCCGACACCCCCCCAACCCACCCACACACCCATCGCCCCGAAAAGAAAAAAACACTAATAAGGTTTAAGGGTATAGAGTTAAGGGACCCGCGCAACCCTAACCCTAAACCCTTAAACGATAAACCCTAAACCCACTGAAAACACAAACCATGTCGATCGCACCTTGATTTTGTGAACCTCCTCCTCGTAGGCTGAGGCTGTCACGTTGGGCACCTTGATGCCGCTGTTCATGCCTAAGCCCAACAGGGATGAAATTTGGGGGTTTAGGGGTTGAAGGGTTACGGTTTAGGGATCTGGATTTAGGGTTTAGGGATGAGGTTTGGGGGTTTAGGGTTGAAGGGTTAGGGTTCTGGGGTTTGGGTTTGGAGGATAAGGAGTGTAGATGTTTATTGGTGTAAGATTTGGGGGTGAAGGGGTTCTTATTTTGCTTCGTGGGTCTAGGATTTAGGGCTCTGGGCTTTAGAGTTTAGGGTTTTGCCTGGGCTAAGGGGGATGAGAAGGGTTTAGGGTTTTGGAGTTTCCCGGTTCCTGCTTGGAATAAAATTCAAGATGTTGAACGCTGTGATCCTCAATCATGAGGCCTCAACTGAACAACAACATCACGCTCAACAAAACAAGGAGTTTTAGGGTTTGGGCGGCTTCGTGTCGGTCCTATAAGGC